AGACGAAGAAGAAGAAGAAGAAGAAGAAGAAGAAGAAGAAGAAGAAGAAGAAGAAGAAGAAGAAGAAGAAGAAGAAGAAGACTATATGGCATTGTATAGAGGATTTCATCAGTCTTATCACAATAATAAATAAAGGTCTGCTTGACCCATACATTAAAAAATTTTTTTCTTCTTCTTCATTGATATTTCCCACTTCATATGAATGCCATTGTTGCAATATGGACACATTTAATAATGAATTAATATGTCCAATTAGTTTAGTTGTTGGTGTCAAGGACCATTTACCAAAGCTAATGTTAAGGTAGACTCCTTGCCCACCCTTTCGACTTTTCTCCACGTATATGGGATGTGAAATGGCCTTCAGAGACCTAAGGTCTGGTATTTAACTAAAATTACTTTCATTCATGGGTCTAGTTTCACCAAAGACAGAGTAAGTTTCCTTATTGATTATCCTTTTCTTGAGTATATTTTTATCATAGTGCCTTAACTTTTTTATTTAAATACAACTATTTCAATGCAGGTAGAAACAAATAGACTAACTGAGAGATAGAGCTTTCCAAGGAAAATGCATATAGCTAAAGTATCCCAGATTACCAGAACCTGGGAGAAGGCTCAATGGTTGAAACGCCTGGCTGGCAAGATAGAGGACCGTGGTTTGATCCCCCACACCACATGCTACGCAGGTCCAACTCTGAGCTGGTCACTGAAACTCTGTGTAGTGGTGCACGCCTGTAATCCTAGCTCTGGGGAGACTGCAATAAGAGGATTACTATAAGTCTGAGCTGTGTAGTGAGATCCTGTACCAAATAAATAAATAAAGTATCGCAGACTAGTAAAGAATTATTAATATATAATCACACATTTGTCCCAGTTTAGGCTACCAACATACATTAAGAATATTCTCTGCTTTTTTGAACAAATATTGAAATTCAATATCATGACAATATTTTATCTTCTTAAACTACCATTTCCTGAAATGAAGCCTTAGAGACTCAGATTAAATGGCAGATTTTTAAATAATCAGTTTTATCACTTTTATAGCCAATTACTTATTTTTTATATTTGATAAAGCTTTTTCATTAAAAGTCTATATTTTCAGATAGGAAGTTTTGGGGGGCACCTGGGAATGCAGGATGCTGGTGCACAGAATCTATGAGGAGACTATGAGGTGTGGCTAGCATGCTGAGCAAAGTCACACAAATAGTTAAACATGTGTGGCGAAAATCACACAGACTCTGTGAGGAGTGAATGGCTAGACAGCAGGACAAAATCGCAAGGGCTGTGTGTGAGCAGCCAGTGGTTAGCCAGCAAGAAACAGGTGAGTGAGACACGTTGTGTCTGGTCACGGTCATTCCTCTTTTCACAAGAAAAACTGCCTAGCAGTGAGGCAGCTCCTTCTTCTGCCTTTTTTCTCTTATCCTGATATTCTAATAAAACTCAAAGATCTCTAATCTTCAGGGCTTTTTTTTTCCTCCCAGAAGTCCCCAAGTACTGTGCACTCAGGTGAAAATAGCACTTTGGACTCATGGGTGAACTAACACTCATTACAGAGTAATCTTTTGCACTCTCTTGCCTGTCACAGCTACAAACATGACAAGCTTTCAATATCCTGCCTTTCTACATACATACTTTTATAATATGAATATCTTTATGATGTGAAGGTATTATTACTTTTATTTGATAATTGTGGTTAAGTAGAATACTTTAATGATTTATATTGTGCTTAGAGCAGTATTTGGATTTATTTGTATCACTTTATTAGACAAATTTGGTCTTTCTTATGTAATGATGTTTGGCTTTTGCTCTTATTAATTTCTTATCTTCTTCAGATTAGATCTTCCTTACTATATACTTTTGTGATTTTGGAAATAATATATTTGACAGTTTAGCTCACTTATATTTTTATAACTACTGTTATCTTTGCATTAATTAAAATTATATTTCTATGTACATATTATGCTCTGGAAGATGTCTTAGTACTCACTTTTTGCTTTTAGTACTTAATTTTTACAGTCTTTAAGACACTGCACTGAAGCCTACTTCATCAAAATGTAACACAAACTGGTCTGGGGAGATAGCTCGGCAGTCTAAGCTCCTGCTTGGCAAGTGTAAGGATCTGCATCCCATACACAGTATCACATGCTGTGCTGGCTCCGCAGAATCCTGGGCACTCAGTGCCTGCCACTGAAAGCAGGCTGGGGAAGCTGAGAGAGGAGGATCACTATTTGTCTCAGCTGAGTAGTGAGACCCTGTACCAAAATAAAAAATAAAATAACAAACTGAATATGCGAAATCATAATAACTTCCTTCTAATCTTTGTGGTGGCTCTGAAAATTGAAAGAGCATCTGCTTCTTAGCTTGTTGATGATGGTCTTCTTACTGTGCCCTCTCGTGGTAGGACAATGAAGCCACACTCCAGACCAGTGGAGTTGAACATCTTTGCAATGGCATAAAAAGTTGTAGGATTTGTTTTGTTTCTAAATGAAGACCACATATTCAGGTTTAATTGCAATGTTTTTACTTTTTGATAAACAAGCAGGTTTTGGGTTGCAATTTGGACTGTCAGTCTCTGAAAGGGTCACCATTGTTACTCTAGACTCCAGTAAGGATTCTACTATCATTCATGAACCATCTACCCTTTAAACTTAATTACGTCCTAAGAATGTAACTTCTACATAGTATAATCACATTCATGCTTAGGTCTTGCTTATATTACTGGAGGTAGAAACACAAACATCCGATTAATAAATGTCATTCTAGGAAGGAATATAATAATAATTGAGTTTTGCCCCTCAGTACCTCTATTCTTTCTATGCAGGCTTATGCTGGACAACTACCAGAATTTTCTAGCCTTCATTTTTGCCATTGAAGAGATCAACAGACATCCTCATCTTTTACCCAACATATCTCTGGGATACGAGTTCCATAATTTCCTTTATAGCCACTGGATGATAATGAAAAGTCCTCTCGTTTTACTCACTGGACAGGATGGAATTCCCAATTACAGCTGTGGAACACAGAGGAAACCTGTAGCAATGCTAACAGGAACGGTATGGGCAGCTGCTGCTCAAATTGAACCACTGATGGAGCTTTACAAATTTCCCCAGGTGATGGTTCTTTGAAGAGAAAGGTGAAACCATGTACAGTGGCACCTCAGTTCAAGAAGTTAATTCACCCCATGATTATGGGAAAGATGGCCATGATGATGTGAAGATGGCTATGATCATGTGAAGATGACCATGATCATGTGAAAGATGGATGTGGTCTTGTTCATCAAGAGATGCAGAGATCACAAACAACACCAAAATTGACTCAAGTGCTCCTGTTTGTGAATGAGATTGTTCAAAAACAAAAGTATCTGTGAACTGGGCTGCCACTGTATTTTGATACTATTTTCGGGTGCCTAAACGATTCATATTCAGGTGCCATTTTCTGCAGTGGGAGAAGGAAACTGTTTCTGTATCTTTTAAAGTATATCATCTCAAGAAGCAAGAGCACAGAGAATTTCTAACTAGTCAGTGTTTCTTTTTTTGTGTGCAGCAAATAACAGGGAGGGAAATCCCAGAATTTTCTTGTCTACATTTGATCAATAATTTTTTAAAAAGCTCTTATAAGTGAAAAGTTGAAAGGTTTAAGAAAAATACCTTCTCTTACCAAGCCTGGTTTTTATTTAGTAATTTCAGGCCTGAGATTGGGTTTAAGCCCTGCACTCTTTGTTCATATTGCCTTCAATTTCTTTTCCTTTCAGGTTAGCTTTGGTTCTTTTGATCCTACACTGACAAAAAAGGGCAAGTTCCCTTCTGTCTATCAGGTAGCCCCAAAAGAAACTTCTCTGGCCCCTGGCATGGTCTCCTTGATGGTTCATTTCAGCTGGACCTGGGTGGGCCTGGTCATTACAGAAGGTCAGAAAGGTCTCAAATTTCTACTGGATATGAGAAGAGAGATGGACAGGAGTGGAGTCTGTGTGGCATTTGTGAAAATGATCTCAACGCCTCTTGTGTCCTATGTCATCAGGCTTCCACAATATGACATCCTGACCAAGCATATATCATCTCTAAATGTGGTTGTAATTTACTATGATACTGATGGTCTAAATAATGTGAACTATCACATAGGACAATACAAAATGATGTGGAAAGTTTGGGTTACAAACTCACAATGGCATGCTGACATGGCTGGGAAAAATTTTATACTGGATACATTCCATGGGACTCTCATTTTTTCAAACTATCATGAGGAAATTTCTGATTTCAAAAGTTTTGTCCAGGAAGCAAATCCTTTCAAATACCCAGAAGACACCTATCTTGTTATGTATTGGTTCCAGAATTTCCATTGCTCCTTCTCTGGTTCTGATTGTGAACTGCAGGACTGTATTCCCAATGCTACTTTGGTTCAGCTGCCCATGAATCGTTTTGACACAGCCATGAGTGATCAGAGTTACAATGTATACAATGCTGTGTATGCTGTGGCCCATGCCCTCCATGAGATGCTTCTCCACCAGGTGGAAATATACCCAATGGGAAATAGGGAAAGGAGGATTTCTCCCTGGCAGGTAACTTATCTAACAATTGATGGCATACACTGTCATCAAGGTATTTTATTTATCTATTTTTCCTAGTGTTTCCATGTGTCCTGGATCTAAGAAAGTGAATGAAACTAACTTCTCCACACAACAGCACAAGACATTGAGTGCCATGCTTATTGTTAAGGAGGTATATCTTGAGCTGTGAAGAAATGGATATCAATCATAAATCAACTGGAAGGAAAAAAATATATTTGAGACCAGATCACTCCTTTGGCCAAAGAAGTTAATTGACAATCTACATTTTCATTTAAGAAAAAGTGAATGTTTTTAAATGCTGTACTTACAGAAAAATAGCAAAATATATAGTACTTTATGAAATTGTATAGTGTGTATATTTTGTGAATTTTCTTATTTAATTGTGGAACAAATTTGGAGAGTGATAACCTCATTGTTTGGATTAATGTGGTGGAAACAGAGAAAATAGTGACTGGAATCTTTGTTTCTAGAATTTATTTTGTCCCTAATACTCATTTATACTATTTAAGTAGGAATAGATAAAAGTTTTCTCCTGATATATGATATTTTAGGAACATTTTTTACCACTCTATACACTTTTCTTTCTTGCTTTTTATTATATATCAGTGTTACACGTGTGCAGTGGAAAGGGGAATTAAATATAACTGGGGCTCTGCCACTTTTAAATTTGTAAGCTTTGCCATGGAGTCCTTTTCACCATAAGATTCTGTGTCTCTTTCAGCTGCACCCATTTCTGAAGAACATAAAATTTGAAAATCCCGCTGGAGAGAAAGTGAATTTAGATGAAGAAACAAAATTGGATTCAGATTATGATATTCTCAACTTTTGGAATTTTCCAGAAGGCATTAGACTGAAGATCAAATTAGGAACATTTTCTCCACATGTTCCTCCTAACCAGCAATTATCTATATCTGAGGATATGATAGAGTGGGGTTATGGTCTTACCGAGGTATTTTCAACTCAATCGTAATGCATACACAAACTTTTGTAGGATTTATACACCCAATTTTATTTAGAATATGGTTGCTTTTGACAGCTAAACAACTCAATTGCCATTGTGATAAATTTTCTTATTTACTACTTTTCTATAACCATATTTCTGCAAATAGTGATATATTTTATTTTATTGGTCTCCATGTGTAAAACTTGTTTGCATGTATAGTTCTGAAGAAGTAAATATCTAAAAATTTATCAAAGTGTATCTTCTTCCTCAGACTCCCCAGTCTGTATGCAGTGAGAGTTGTAATCCTGGATTCAGAAAAAGCCCTCTGGAGGGAAAGCCTGCCTGTTGCTTTGACTGCACCCCTTGTACAAAAAATGAGATCACCAATGACACTGGTAAGAATGTACATTACTGATACATTTATGATCTCTATTTTATATTCACCCATCCATGTAGGAAATTAAAACTTTTATATACAATAACAACAATACTTTTTCTTCCTTCAGTTAACAATTCATTTGTTCTACTCAGTGCTATTAGTCCTTAAGACACGTACTCTTTCCCTTTAATGACGACTTATTACTTTCCCTCCCTCCTCCTCATTCTCCTGGTCCTTGTCATCATCATCTTCCTCCACATCTTATTCTCCTTCTCTTTCTTTTTCTCCCCCTCCTCCTTCTCCTCTTCTTCACTAGGAATTCAACCAATAGGTGCTCTGCAAATGAGCTTACAATTCCCAACTCCTTGTACTTTTACTATTGAAGTAAAATATCAATAAATTTCCTTAGACTGACCTCAAACTTGTGATTCTTCTATGTCACCCTACTAAGTAGCTCGAATTACAGGTTTGTGATGCTACCCATCTTACATTCACTCTTTTAAACTCAGTGAGAACTTGAACTTTTCAAAAGACTCTATCCTTCGTCACATGATTTCTAATTCTCACCTCCATCATAATTTTTTACCACCAAGAATTATTAAACTTCAAGAGTTTACATTATTCACCACTACATTAAAGCATACTGAAGACAAAGAGTTGATCTATTTCTACTTTTTCAAGCCTAACAATTCTTGCTGCAAAGCTGATGCAGTGTGGAATTCTGCTGTTTGAGACAGGCGTGTACCTTTGGTGTACATCATGCTAGAATTTTTACTCTGTTCTCCAAGAATTCTTCTGTGAGTAGAAAATACAACCTAAGTTTTCCTGAGCTTTAGTCCTATAAAGACCACAGAGTGTTTAAAGATTAACGATATTTGCATGTTAAGAGGATGTCATTTGAAAGACAGAAGCATCAATACAACAAAAGGTGAGGGCAGCTGAAATCCTACTTAACATCAGCAGAGGTGGCCACAGTGCATGGTTCTCCTGCACGTCATATTCTTAGATTCCAAATGAATGGACATGTCATTAAACCACAGATACTATGAGGACAAGGAATAATAGATGATGTAGAAAAGTTACAGAACTCCACTATTAAAGATTTTTCCACACCAGTTCATTAACACTTCCATTTAGGATACATCTTAACATGTAAAACCACCACTCAACTGGATTTTCAGTGGGTACATATGCCTGATATAGGCTTAGATTTGACAACATAATTAGTTTGATTTCAAATTTTCTTGATAACATATTGATTAACTGTGCTGAATTCCATGTATTAATGGGGGCACTTAGACTTTTTAAGGATTAGGTGTATGGCATATTCATTTAATGTGTAGGTGGAAAAAAAATTCACCACTAATATCCATTATCTTATGCTTCTGATAAATAAATTACAATTTTGAAAAATCTTATAGAATGCTTTAAAATACAAATTAAAACATAGGAGGCTTTCAAAAAAATTTAAAGAACATATATACAGAAAATGAACAAATCTTAAGTGGACTCTAGGCAAAAAGAAATCATTGAGATCCCTTAATACATTTGATCAAGAAAATAAAGGTTTCAAATGTACTAAAATGCAGTCATTTCTAAAGATATGCAGAACATTTTTCATGTGAAAATATAGTAAAAATGATTTCTCTACCATCTATTTCATAGTGTGAGCCTATAGAATGTATGCTACTTTTCTTTTCAAACAAAGTATGTTAATGTACAGTAGTTTTTTTTTTCTTTTCTAAAATAAACCTCAGTGTTCAGGTTTAACTGCAATTTTGGTGCTTTATGATAAATAAGTAGGTTTTGGGTGACAGTTTGGGCATTTACCTCTAAATGCACTATTCTATTTTAATGTTGATTTTAAAGTTAAAATATCATATAAGATGAGTGTGGTGGTGCACACTTGAAATCCCAGCATTCATGAGGCTGAGGTAGGAGGATCACTGAAAATTCAAGGGCCGATTGAACTACATAATGAATTCAGTCTGAACTTCACCATGAGACCATGTCTCAAAAACAAAACAAAACAAACAAACAAAAAAACCCTTGACAAACAAAAAAGACATGAAAGGTGAAAAATTATAAGAAATTGTTTAAAATTTTCCCATCATACCATGTCTGTTAACAAATTTGAATTCATAATTCACAGAATTTTTCCATAAATTTTTATGCTTATTGAGAGAATCAGTAGTGCAATTTGTAAGCATTCAAGAACACACTAATGTAGACTTAATGAAATGCTTGAAGAGAAAAAGGAAAATCAGAAAAATGATGCATTTTAAGGGAATTGTGGAATCCCCAGGCCTGGCATGAGTGAGTGGGACCGCCCAGGGCCCACTGGATCCTCATTCCAGCCAAGGTTCTGGCCCAGAGTGTGTGTGGACCATCCTCCATCCTACAGGCTCAGTGTGGAACCCTTCAGCAGAACCCCCTGCTGAGAGGCTAGAGGCAAGTCTCGTTCAGCTGATCCAGGAGCAGAACATCTTTGCTGGAGTGGAACAACAGGTTCACTTCCAAGGGCTGCAGCAGGAAGAAATGGAGCACAGCAGCCAAACACAAGCCACATTCACTTGGATGAGTTTGAAATAGATCTGGACCTGGTGCTAAGGTAATAACTCTACCAAATCTCTGCATCAAAGGTCAAAGTACAGTGCTATACAAAATGACAAAGGAACAAAATACATTCTCAGGCCCCAAAACAAATGCAGGAGACACTAGCATAGAAGAAATTGGAAAGTACACACCTGAAATCTCTGAAATAATAGCATCAGAAGTAAAGAAACAACTGTAGAAAAGTATAGAGGATATCAGATCAGAAATAATTTCTGAAGCAAAAAAATGAAATTATAATTATAATAAAAAATACTACATACTTCTAAAGAAGACACTAATAAAAAATAGAGGAGAATAGAAAAATGATGGATATCTTGAATGAACAGTACAGGAAAGAATGAAAATGCATGAAGCAGATTCAAAGTGCTACACAGGAAGTTAAAACCTCAATCACAAGTGGGCAAAATCATTTGAATGAAAGTGAAGATAGAAAAAAAAGAAGAAAAAGAAAGTGAAGATAGAGTTTCAGACCTTGAAGACACCATTGCAGCTTTGAAAAGGTAATAAAAGATCTCTTAAATGCAACCAGGGTGTATGAAAAAATAATTCAACATCTGCAAGATGATGCAAAGATGAACACCGTAAGACTAATAGGCATCAATGAGAAAGAAGAAGTCAATGCAAATGATATAAAAAGAATATGGGCAGAAGTAACCGCAGAAAACTTCCCAAATATGGGGAAACAGTCTAACATTCATGTAACCAAAGTATATAGAACTCCAGATGAAATCAACCCAATTAAAACCACACCCAGACATATAATAATCAAGATCCCAGAAATTCAGCAGAGGAACAGTATACTAAAATCTGCTAGAGAAAAGGAACAGATCACATTTAAAGGAAAACCCATCAGAATAATAGCAGATTTCTCTTCACAAGCCATCAAGTCAAGAACAGCATGCAGTAAAGTACTACAAGTCTTGCAAGAAAACAAATTCCAACCCAGACTAACATACCCTGCAAAACTCTCTTTCAAGTATAATGGAGAAATGAAATACTTCCATGACAAAGAATATTTAAAGAATTTCCTGATGACAAAGCCAAGCCTACACAGACTACTAAACGATGTTCTAGAGAGGGATCAAAATGACCACAACTCCATGAATGAGAGAGGAAAGAACTCATCAAATGGGCCAAATAATTAATCACAGGAGAAAAAGAGGTATGCAGCAGCAGTCTTTCAATTATCCTTTTGTATATAGCAGCAAGATATTTCCATCAGCATACTCTACAAATGGACTACCCTGCACCCTATGGGTCATGATTCTGTCTGGGGCTACAGGGTGAATATCAAGGAAATAGCAGTAGCTCAGTCCCACAAGTGACATTGAGCCACCAGTGAGCATCATGGACACTGTCCATGTCCACGATATTCTAGAACTTTGTGCAATATCCTACCTGTTAGAAGTTTTGGTCATATATTTTTCTTTTTTTTAATATGGTTTGTGTGTGTGTGTGTGTGTGTGTGTGTGTGTGTGTGTGTGTGGCCAGCTCAGCCCACCAGGGGGCGAGGCTGGCTGGCATGTGGTGCTG